CAAACAGCAAATAAATTGTACAAAGTATCTGCAATAGAATGATAACTCATTATCATGCTGGTATTTTGGGAGAGAGCGACTGCAGCTTCAACTCAGGACCTCTGAGGAGTCTCACAGTTAAAGCTATTTTCTAAATCTAACTCCCTTTTTCTAACGTAAAAGATAAACATGCTAAGAATGTAGTCAGAGGAAAAGTGAATTAGCCAAAATCAGGCATGTCATCTGCACAAGACAAAGTGCATACTATGCTCCTAGAAATCTGGGACCTCCTGTTTTCAAGGTTTTTCAAGTTTTCACTCGAGTTCGCACACCACAAAATCTAAGGGCAATCAAGGGACAATCTGAAAAGGTGATATCAAGAGCTGCCAGCTTTTGCCTGTTCACGAAAGGGAAGCAGCTATGAAATATTATACTGAGGCCCATAGGACTCAATAATGGACACAATATATCCATTACTGATCCATCAGCGTAGTTAAGAGCTAATGGAGAGCTACAAAGATGCTATCTTGTAAAACAAACAGCAATTTACATTAAAGACAGAAAAAGAAAATCCAGGCCAAAGGAAAATGATGTGACTGGGAAGGGACAACCCCTGAGAAGCTTATAAATTTGGCTAGTGCTTAGCATATATAAACCTGACTTAGTTTCTGTCTGTTAGCCTGCCAGATAGGTACAAAGATCAGCTGGATCACTTTTTAGATCCAAATCTTTGGCTACGGGCTTTAACTTTAGGTATAAGAGACTGATTAAAGGAAAGCTACTAATTTCTTGGAAGTAAAGAAAATAGAATGGCACCTTTGTCTTTGGACAACTAACTCAATTATCTATTATTTGAGAGACAAGGTTCTGAAGGAAATGGTATTTCTTACACGTAATACTAAAACAATCGGTCCCTTACTTTCATGTATGCAATAAGGATGCAGTAATACAGGACTGAGAGAGAAATTCTAGATCATCATAGTTACCAAGAATTAAGTAATATCAACATTGCTTTAGGCAGCTCTTGTGCTTCTGTGGCACACRCCATCGAAGTACACTTAGGTTTTATGAATAATATAGAGGGGATGACACAGAACTGTCGATTGGCACCTATGTAGGACAAACATCAATATTTCACCAGACAGATGAAGACTGCAGGTGCAGAATATACCCTTAAGGAATGAAAAGAATGAAATATATACCTTTAAGGAATTTCCAGCTGGCAAACTGAGAGAAGCCAGTCAAAAGGGTTTAACGTCTAAGTTGTTAGTTTTGTTTTTGTAATATGGTTGATCCAATAAAGCTACAATGGCTTCTTACTTGTTAGCAAATGCAAAACTGTGTGGCAAACAAAAGGTGCACAAGTAATAGCTAAGTTAAATAATACATCTTTTAAGTGACAGTGAAACTGTGACCTATTGCTGGCAAGCACACTGGCAATTAAATAATGCATTATATAACAGTTTATGTGAACTAACAATTTCAGGTTACCAGAAATCCATCCTATCACATTGCGCATCATAGGAATGCAAATGTGATAGAGGGCAGATTCACTTCAGCAGTCCTGCTGAAACACTGTCTGTCATCTACGTAGGTATACTGGGGGGGTGCTAGAGCAGAAACAAAAATATGATTCAATTCTTTCTGAAAAGTATCATTTACTGAATAAAGTGGGATAATTTTAAGACAAGCATCTAAAGATTTCAGAATAAAGACATCATTTAAACTGTGTAATTCATGCTCTTTGTAATCCCACCACATTTGGTAAAGCAGAGCCAAAGCAATTCCTTTGGTCCCACCTTCAATTTCCTCTGCACTTTTATGAATCTTCCCTTCATACTAAACGACTTCTTAGATCCAAGAAAAACTGTAAGCTGCCTGGTCTAAAGTCTATCCTTCCTCTAAGTTCTTTAACAGATCTTCATCTTACTCGCTCGTGTGAATCCTGCTCAAGTCTACAAACACCTGAATCAACTCAAGCTCAACTACTCTGCCAGCTGTTACTAGCAATATTGAATTTGATGAAACCTTGTCATTTACATGGATAGAGCAGAGGATATGTTTGTGAAGATTATTTAATACAGAATCTTCTATCTTAGACATGACGATTTTCCAAATGAAAATCTCTAATACTATGCAAAAGACAGGAATTTGAATACTACTATTGGTCTTACCATTAACTATCCCACGCTTGCAATAAAAATACAGTTGTTCTAAAATGTTTTCTGCTTGTTTTTCATCACTGCTCCTCAGTAAATCAATTCATTAAGTCCAAACGAAACACACACCACACTCAGTGCAACATGGATAGCTCTGATACTTTAACAGAACGAAGTTCACTACTATTTTCCAAAAGATTTCTGAAATGAATAACTACAGTAACATTCTTAAGAATGCAAATTCTTCCAATAAAAAAAAAAAATGTGAAGCAGGGCTGGAAGGAATGAATTCAGATTTCAAAGTGCAAGCCTATGTTTTCACTGCTAAAAGTTTAACATCTTTTCTCGATGGAAAAGCTCTGAGGATCAATTTTAGAAAATAAGCTAGTAACATGATATATTCATCTGCTAAATTTTCAAGATTTTGACAACTTACTGTTTAAAAGTCTATCATTAAGAGAATAACACTCATAGCTTCCTAAAAGTCATTCCTTCTCAAATTCTAAAACTCATAGCTTCCCAGAAGTCATTCTAAAACTCATGGCTTTCTAGAAGTCATTCCTTCTCAAATTCTATCTTCTGTCTTCGCTCTCTAAAAAATTTAGAGAGCTATACTGAAGTAAATATTGCCAAAGTGAAATGGTTTAAAAAAGCAAAATAGTTCCCTTAATTACACAACTGTTTCTATATTTAAGGATGAGTGGGAGTGTGAGAAGAAAAATATTTGTGAATATCAATATCTACAATACAAACACATTTGAGAACCTTACATTGTGCAATTAGTATCTTCATGTGAGAATCAGGCAAGATATAAATATGCCATTCACTAGAAGGCATATCTGGTACTCTAGCCACAGAGCTTTCAGCTTTGGGTAGGTTAAATAAGTACTTAGGAATTTACAAACATTTTAATTTTTAATTTATAATCCACTGTTGGAAATAAAAGTCAGGGACAGGCACAAACTACATTGCACTACTTGATGCAGACATAGTAATAAGATTGTAGACCTCTTCTTAACGATTTTCTAGAAAATCTGATATGCTTCCCTTTTTACCTGAGGCGGACCCAGAGCAGTGTCTGCACCCCTAAGAAATAATTGAGTCCTCAGATGCGAAGCCCCGATGTGCACAGCCGCCSAGGCAATTCACGTAGTTCTTGCTGTGAACAACCACGGTGCAGTAACGAGGCCTCGGCAGCCACCCGTGGCTTTCCAGCCCGGCACCATTCCTGCTTCAGCGCGGAGCGGGCTGTCTTTGCACAGCACGGCCAAAAGAGGGCACTTGGAGAATAACACAGGAAAGGCTATAGCACACGTTTTAATGCACGAGGGCTTTGACATCAGCCTCAGGCTTTAAAGCAGAATGTATCACTACAAAAGATCAAATATGTGCACATGTCCCAGGCTTAAAACTTTGAGTGTTGCCAGGCGTATAAACATATTGTTTGTATGAATGGTCTGCAGTACTTCCAGAATATGTTTATTGCCAATTTGAGCTATTCTAGGACCTAGTTTCAGTGTTTCATATTGCTTTTTATTTTTACGGAGTATTCATGGATTCTTATCCACTCAAAATTTAATGTTCCCATTAATTCACTGTATAAATCACATCAAAATTTAAATATATAAATTATAACTAAATTTCTTACAATTCAGCAGATTATGTATAACAGATTTGCTTCCCCATGTACCCATGGGGACCTCACTAAATGAGAGATAGAGAGAAAGAGAGAGAGAGAATTCAGCAGCTACTTTATAATATATATGTGCACATTTGAATTTGCAAATGTTTCATTTGTTCATGCCTAGTTTTGGTTAAATATTGCTGCTTATAGCATCTTAAAGAAAATCTAAATTGAATCATAAAAACGCAGTGCAAAAAGTTCAGAAAGGATGATTGATCGTAAGGCTTGAAACCTAAGAAGCATTATGTCTATTTTCAAATAGCAAAGTTTGTTCAGAAGTTTGCAAAAAGTTCAAAAGCAATAATTTTTAAAATGATCCCCTTCTGGAACTTTCTATACATCATCACAATCTTATAATCTAAAAAAAGGATGATGTATCCATGATAGGCAATATTAAGGCTTTAAAAGAGCTGATCTAAAGATTCCGAGTAACACTCACTTAAAATTTAGCTCTCGAGTTGAACGCACCATTCAGAAGTGAATTATGATTCTCTCCAAATGCAATCTACATACTGTACACTCTGACTTTGTTCCTCTTACTATCATGTTACAGGGCTGTCATTTGAGGTGGATTAGTCCTGCTGTTACACAACAAAAAAAAAAACATGGTAAGCAGCATAACTTGAAAAATCTCAGGTATGAACTTCTCAAAAATTCACAGAACTTCCAAGAATTACAAATATCTCATGCTGATCTTTGTCCAGACATAGAATAATAAATTACATGGTATTTCCAGACCTAGCAAAACAAAGGCAATACTTTGTGAATCATTATCAATTCACCAGATCTAATCTCAAAGATGTTGACTTTGGTTGATCACTTCCATGAAGAAAGGGCCCACAAGAATAGAAAGCTCTTATACATTAACACAGCACCCAATTAAATCACCTAATATACTTTACTGTACATGTTTATAGTGAATATATTTATATATAAATATTTTAAAATATTTTCATTTATAAGCACCTAAAACAAGTCCAGCTAGTTGTGACTAAACAGAAGAAAATATAAAACGCAAAACTTTAATGACTATATAGCATTCTCTGTGGTATATTATGCTAATTACATCAGCTCTTACAAAAGGTATATGCTTTCTAGTATTTGCACTATACAGCTTCCTTGTTGAATTATTGCAAAGAAATCCTTCGGAAAAAGGGGAAAACATGCTTACCACCTGCCTATTTTACCCTCAACGCATTTCATAGCTTTTGCTGACATATGAGACATGAATGATAATATATGATGTTACCTTTAACTAAGACCAGATGTATATAAAATGGTAACCTAAGATGTAGGATCTCTGTATGTGTACACAGATACATATATATGTACTTTTAAAAACTCTTACAAGCAAGATATAGAAGTTTGCCTCAGTTTCAAATGTCAGCTTTTCAGAGCAAACACAATGCAATACCACGGTATATTAAACATTATTTACTAAAAAAATGACCTGCATATCAACTAGACACATCTATTGGCAAGAAAAAAAAAGAACAACTGTAATAAAATTAAAAGCAGCATGAGATTACATGGTAAGAATGCTAAAAATCCATGTAAATTTCAGTGTTTCCTACCAAAAGAGAAAAAAAAAATCAAAATAGGCAATATCAAACCCATAGAGGAAGACTCTAGTCCAGCATTTATTTTTGTCATCATTGTTAAATATTAAAGAAACCCATTTAGAAAGCTAATCTGAAAGTAAATATCCTTTAACTTAAACATTTAACTTCTATTAATCCCACAACAAAATCCAGACTACTATTAAAATAAAGCCTGTGGCACATTATGATGACTAAGATTGGTGGGTGGATTTTAATTGACTTGAGGACTGTCATAGTCCTATTATCATAAAACCTGTAACACACTTCCAGCATAGAGGACCCATCTGTGCCCACCATCCATCTGTTTAGACATGATTGGCAAAGTGGTAGGGAACTCGCAGTGGCTGCCTCTGCCTGAAAGGAATAAACCACAGGATCTTCCAGCGAGTGCCAAAAACTTCAGAGAAGCTCTGCTGCCATGGCTTTCGGGGYCTTGATCTATAAAAAAACAGCATTATTAGTGAAAGACAGCACTCCCATGGTGCATTTCAGTCATCTACAACAATACAGGTTGGCTAGGGATCCATCGCTGGGCTCTGATGAATTGTGTCCCAGCATCACAAACACAGCACACAGCTTTTCTTTCATTAGGGCACGCAGCTGAGACTTAACTTGGGAGAGAAGAAACTAACTGTGTTGTCAATCAACCAGGGGCAACTTTTGAAGCACGGGAGAACTTCAGGATCTACGAAACATACATCCAAAACACAGCAGCAAGTTCTTTTTGATCTCTGCTTTTGAAAATACTGTTTTACTTACTTTGGGTAAGAAGGGAATAAAAATAAAGTATTAAAGGCTACTGCTGTAGATAAGAAATACAGGGAGCAGCAGCATGCAAAATACTCTTAACAATGTCCTCTGTTCTTCTCTCACTAAGTTAGTCGCAGCCATTCCTCTAATTTTTCAGCAAGTTAGGAATTTTATAGTACTTACATATCTTCACAACAATTTGCCATTTTTTCTATACTTGTAGTGTCCTGTTAAAGAAAATTAAATACTATGAAAAAAAATCTTTTAGCTGTTCATGTCATTACAAAAGAGCTAAATAGACAATTACATCTTAGCATGTACTGCTCTAGCAACATTTTCCTCTTACTTCACATTAAACTGATGTATTCAGTCTGTTAAATACGATCTTTTACAAACACAAAATGTAACAATACAGTGTAGTTCTATTATGAAAGCACACATTACAGGAAGTCAAGAAAATGACATTATAATAGCTAAAAATAGCTCAGATATTACAATTAATTTATGGACTTTCAAAAATAACGTGTGCAAAGTGCACTTTTCCAACATATTTAAAAAGTACCTATTCCAGTCTTGGAGATTCTATTCAGAAATGCACGGGAGCAAAGCATATTTATAACACAATTCAGTAAATCGTGAGCATCATCATCATCAGTCCCTTGAAAAGCAGAACCTATTAAGCTTTAAAATAATTATCTTCATGAGTATTACAATGTGAAATGTACCACCAAAGATATTACAAAAAACTTCTACGCTTTCTAGAGGAAAATACTAAATATAAACTACTACTACTACTACTACTACTACTACTAATAATAATAATAATAATAATTTTCTTAAAATTCATTAATAATAGTCTAGACAAAAAGGCTAGAGAAAAGGTATCTACAGCTAACAGTAAATTCATACTTTTCTGAACATGACTTCCTTCATTAAATTTTATAAATAAAAAATCAATTTAAGCTCAGATTGCCTCTAAATAAAATTTTAAAAGCTACCAAAAATGGTACTTTTACTCCAGCAATGCATATATTGCTGAAGAAATGCGTATAATTAAAAAAAAAAAAAAAAAAAACGCTTATCTGTAGGTCAGTATTACTTCATCTTTACTTCCAGCAGTACTTTTTCAATGTAGACTCATATTTCATTGCATTACAAAATAATTCAAGAATTCTAAAATGTGTTAATTCAAGTATTTTTCATGTTTCCAACCTCTTTTTATGGCAGGTTGCTACTTCCCTTTAATGTCGACTCATTTAGGTATCTGTCAAATTTTACTGTCTTTGGTCTACTGACCAAATAACTGATTCTCCTGCTCACCTTATGCCTGCCTAGCATATTAGTTCACCTACCTCTCACTTGCCGCAAGTAACAGGGAAACACAGACAGACACAAGCCACTTTCTATATCATGGCATGGATCTGACAGAAACCCACCTTTCACCTCATACCTCTCTGACAGAACAAAGAATACTGGTGTGTTTGAAAGCAGTGAGTTCTAKATGATATGTTTTTTACGAACAGCAGTACACTAGTATGGACTATAAATAACTAGTTATCAAAAAAAGTATTTTCATTTCAGAAAAAAGAGCCTAAGAAMAACTTTTCATTGCAAATAATTTCATTGCATCTTCAGAATGGTTTATGTGTCTTTTTTGAGTATGTTGTTTCTTTTTGAAGATGTTTATTCATTAATATGTTTATACTAACTTCTAAAATAATGTTATTTGCAATTTTGAACACTGTTTTGAATATTTTTTTGGAGGAATTCCTGCCATGTCATGTTTGTTTTTTAAATTGTTATCATAGGATCCACAACTGGAAGATACTCATCACAGACTGCTTCCCTCAAAAACACAACCTATGGAATTAATTAAGTGAAAGCACTAAAATGAGACCTGCAAGTAATTACTGTAAAAAAGACTGCAAAACTTACATGCCTTCAAAATATACTAAGGATTTGAGCTGGATAGGAAGTAAGAGAAAATCCTTCCTTTTGTCCCTCCTCCTTCTCATGTTAAAATGTCAAAAAATATCTAATAATAAATAGCTCTATGTAACAGTAAGTAAACTGGGACCRAGCAGTGAATCCTTTTTTCTGGGGTAACTTCTGGATAATAAAAATGTCCCTACAGACATTTAAAAAGCTATAAATCAGGGCTAGAAGGAACTGGAGTAAGTTTCTTCTTTGCAGTTTAGATGTTTAACAAGTACTGATGACTAAATTCAAGAAACCAAATTCCCTCCACTGTTCCCCTGCCTTCCTGCTCCCCTCAAACAGTTCAACTCATTTGAAATATACTTTCATTTGTAAGTGAATCCACTTACTTTTTCACATGAAAATGAAACTTCACAGCTCCCAATATCCCATTTTTTCCCCAATAAACTCTTCATAACATTTCCTAATTCAGCAGCCTCGCTGTAGAGGACAGTGTAAGAAATGGGAGGAAGCAATAACTGGACTTTGGACTAGTATTTTAAGTTTTTTTTCACAGGGAGTTGAATTTTCAGAAATTGGAGGATAAGAATAATCAATAATCCATTGAATGACAAGGTGTTGATGTATCTGAAGAATGGCCTTCAAAGGTTTTGCTAAAACATCAGTGTTATTTTGCTCAGCCTAAGAGGCTTTGACTGTCTGTGTTAACTATCAGCTTGGATTACTATTAATACAAAAGGAATGCTGCTAGAAATTCTCCCGGCTAATTCTAATGTTAAAATTTGCAAAGCAGTTACTCATCTATCAGTTACAAGCAACTTGAAGTGAGCAAATGTCAACTGAGTCCTATCTTCAGGAAAAACAAAAAAATTACTATTGTGTATGAGACAAAATGACTTAATCACAATTGATTATCAAGGTCATCATCCAGATTGGAAACAGTGCTTCTGCACTTGCCTATTCAGAAATATACATCCACGTAAAAAGCATTTTAAAGCAACTAAATAAAAACACCTCTTAAGTGTCTTAGTGAGAAAGGCAAATGATATTAAGAGGAAATAAACACAGAAAACAGAGAAAAATATGTATTTTAATATTAGAAACAAGCACCAGAAGGTTCAGAGACAGCTGATGCTAAGCATCTTCCCACTTTGTAGACTTGAGACAAGTCTACAACTGCAGCTTGTTGGTTCTAAATAAACCAAAGTACTGGAAAAGCTAAAACTGTTAATGACAGAGATGAAGAGTTATATTTAGTAGTACTGACTGAATCCTGCAGGCTGCCTTAAAATGCATTTGTAAGTGAATGCTCCTGTGCTAGCTACTTAAAGATCTATCACAGGTATATTTTAAACTAGCACAAGCTGCTTCAAGGAAAGTTTTTTTTAAAGCAGATCTTTCTCTCTCTCTCTCTCTCTCTTCCTCACACACACACACACATACATATATATAAAATATATATATATAATATATATATAGGTATGCTGGTGAGCAAACTGTGCTATTGGACAGGATTCATCATGAACTAATTTATAACATAACAAGCACATGGAAAGAATCTCTAACCAATTCTCATTTTCCTGAGAAAAAGCAGTAATTTGTAACTCCAAAGAATGCAGCAACAATCTCTGGTCCAATATTATTTCCATGCTTGCATAGAATGATATCTAATGAATAGAGGTTTACTTAAATACTTGCATTCAAAGAATGCAATCGTTAYATTGTACTTGCTTAGTATAATCTTCAAATATTCAATATACGGGAATCAGCAGAAAAGTATAATAAAGGAGAAAGTAGAAAACCAACAGAATTTGCAAACCCTTGCAAACTGCAGCTATTGCTTTTACCTCAAAGCATTAAACAGCCTGTAATGTACCTGACCAGTACATCATTTTTTCATTCCTTTCATTCCTCCAGGAATATCAAATACCATGCACTTCATCAAGAAGAAAGTTTACTACTTTGGTAGTTTTTCTACCTCTACAGTGTGAAAATAATAAACTACATTTTTATTTTACCATTCACCGCTTTTTGTAAAACTGATGTTTAAATTTAGCCTGACAAAATTTTTAAAAATACCTTACATGAGAGATTGTGTGCAAACTGAAAAGTGATGTTGTGCTATATTATTTCTAGGGAATGCCTCTGTTCTCTGGTCTGTGATGAATGTAGTGAAATAGATTCTTCATGTAACATACCAGAAAATGCATCAAAAACAATACCTAAAACTGAATTAAGAATATGTACAAAGAAAAAGATAGCAAAACAAAATAAAACACACAGTTTTCTTCAATCTTGTTTCAAGACCGTCCTGTTTTAGGTACATGAAGTGGGACAACATCACATTTAGCACACACACTATCTGTATTAGTACTTAAGAGCACCCCSTTAAGATATGCCTGGTGAGGCCAGCTGTTGTTCTTCACACACAGAAGTTATTTTAATGGTCTGTTGTCTAAATTTGACAAACATTAATCTCCCACAACACTAAATCATTATTACCATTATTTATCTCCAGTTGTTGAAAAGTACCTCACTTGTTATTTAGAAAAATAAATTAATTGAAAAAGGGCTCATTCCCTGAATCACAAAGAAGATATTTACGTTTCTCTGCAAAGAATAAGATTTTGTTGACTAAATTTTCTAAATTAAATAAACTTCCCTTAACATTGTAACTAACGAGTTTCAAAAAAAGTTTCCCCAGTAACTTGTAGCAAGTTAAAGGAGAAAGCATATTTGTATGGGCAAATATCTACCATTAATTTACTGGGATTTATTTGTGTAAACCATAAACTGATCTAAATAGTAAATTTTTTCAACATTGAGTGCTTCAGCTTTCAAGTTTATTCTTATGTTTTAAAATGTTGATGCACAGGCTTTTTTAAAAGATTGTAGAATATGGGTTTGATGGTAAACAGGCTTTTAAGACTAACATGATACATTTGTTAAAGAAATTAAATGTGCTGTATATAATAATAAAAAAAAGATTTTCTACAGTTAGCAAATTACCAAAGACCAGAATATAATTGATTCTGACAATTTATTTTATAAATTTTCATAAGAGTATTTTAATGGGAAATTTACTTATAGGTGGGCGAAAGTTAGACATAGAAAAAAAAAAGGAAGGGATAAGAAGAAAATGGAACATAAACATAGCCAATGTTTGCATGAACCTATTTTCTTTTAGTTCTCGCATTTCAGATTATTATTTGGCTTTATATTTATTCTGCTATTTGTGATTACTTTATATTTTACAGTTTATTATACTGAAGTAAAGAAAATATTTGTC